TTATATGACGTCTCCCGTGCAAACGACCTATAACCGAGATATTCAATATGCCGGGGGTCTGGGGGCTCTGAAGTTAGGTAAGGTTAAGTAGGTTTGGTTGGTGCTATAAACCACGTATTATTAATCGAGTTATCCTGAATAATCAAATAAGTATCCTTAAAAAGGTAACACCGAGAGAATGAAACAAGTCGATTAGAGTACAGCACAAGCTTAGTGTCTGTCCTCTTGCGATTTTTTCGCTACAACCCACCACAGGGTGATGGAGAAAGTAGCTTATCCATCCGTCACATTTTTTAATCTTTAGGTAATTAATTAATAATTACACTCACAGGGTGGCAGATAATCAGCTTCCTTCTTTCTCATATAAGTATCATCGACGTGGACTTATGGTTCACAGGCATAATATTGTCTCGGTTCATATTGGTCTGGGGATACAGACAAGGCCGATCAGTGGCGAAGAGGATAAAGTAAAGTACTGTATAGCTAAATCTCTGAGGCGGAGGATGTCCCATACTTCTCTTCCTGCAAACTGTCTCATCGTCCCAGAAATTCCAGCATCTAATGATCTTCAAATCTATTGCCTTGATTGCCTTATTGTGAGGGACCTTCCCACTAGAACACACGAGAGTTGTGGCAAATGTTCTTTAATATTACTCTAAGAATTGATAAAAAATAAACGGAAATTGTCACCAGGAACTTTTATTTAATTAAACAAAACGTTAAAAGCGTCGACAAATAACGCAAAAACAGTAAAAACAAACTCATTACGTAAAAATATGCTGCTTATAAAAATAATTTATCAAGCACGTTTAAATTTGTCTAAATCGTTCAAATTGTCACAATAAGCTTCATCGGGAGTGGCGTTTTAGTGTGTTATTTAATTATGTTAGTTCTGTACTATCACCTCCACCATTACCTTCTCTTGGATCACTCAACATACCTATACCTATCACTACAAATCGCTATAACAATTATAGTTTTGTGCGTCAAAATCTGTCAATAATTCGGAATTGATAAAGAGTTTTAGATTGCGGTAAAATTATAAACCCCAACTTAGAATTAACAAAGTTACGTTCACTTTAACTAAAACACACACACACACTCTGTGCCCCAACACACTCCAGGTTGTGAATTCCACCAAGCTTCTCAGCGTCACTATAAAGCAAACTGAACTGGAAAGAACACATCAGTACAACCGTCAAATATTCCAGCTATCGTGTCCCATCCTCCGTCACGTCGTCTATAAAGTCCCTTTGGAGTTCCTGCGTCCGAGCTCTTGAATGTTTACATAACATTCACTCTTCCTAAGCTCACATATGTTTCCCCTGCCTGGTCTTCTTCCTTAAATGCTACATAACGAAGACTCCAAGAGGAAGTGCAGAAGAGGGCATGCAAGACTATTCTCTCCTCTTTATATCACCACAGACCAAGAGGCGCTCAATATACTGACTCAACTCTCCGATCGTCACCATGTCACCTGTCAGTTTGAGACGAAGCTACTACACACCATCCTCGTCACCGTCACCCGCTTTTTTTCTTTTATCCTCTTCACCACTGATCGGCTCGTTAGCCGCTTGGGCGATCGGTTACGTCTCTGTCACGCACTGTTGGCAAGCACTGGGCATGCACCGGCTCCTGAATGTATCTGAACCTGCTCATGTTGGTCAAGTCTGGTCTTGAAAGAGCTCACACTCGGTGCCGTCACCACACTCTGCAGATTGTTCCAAGAGTTCACAACTCTCACTTCAAAAAAGTTACCCCTCACAGATTGCCCCCGAGGGGGCTAGTTTATTGGGCACCCCTTTACATCCTGTGCAAGGTGAAGAGCAGAATCGTTTACAGCGCCCATCTGGGAAGCATGCGGAGTTCATGCTTGCCTTTATGACTCATGCATTAGGGCGTAAAAGCCTGAAGGGTCATGGGTTTTGTCAGCAAGTTACATAAAGTGACAGAATGATGAGTGTGTGGGGGGAAAATTCCCGGTACAATTTATCAGTTTATGGCAAAGCGTGGCAGGTCCCTAATAATGAAACAGAAGAGGGAGGAGTCAAGGAAGAACGGGGACGGGTGTACATGGGTTATACTCAGGGGGAGGGTTGTGGAAGCAAGTGTGCCGACACAGGGCCAGGGGGCAGCAGTGCACCCTCCACCCGCTGTAACCCCCACCCGGGAGGTGGCACCAGCTCCGCCTACTTTTTACTTTTTTACTTTTATCCTCTTCACCACTGATCGGCTCGTTAGCCGCTTGGGCGATCGGTCACGTCTCTGATTACTTTTCCTTTTTATTTATCTTCTTCACCAAAAGATCGGCTCGCTAGCCGCCCGGGCGATCGGTCACGTCTCTGTCACGCACTGTTGGCAAATACTGGGCATGCGGACAGGAGGAGGCTTGTACACCTTAATCAGATCTCCCCTTGCCCGTCTGTAGCACAAGATAGGCAAGTTCAGGCGCTCCATTCTCTCTGGGTAGCTGGGGTGCCGCAGTGCAGGCACCAATCTGGTGGCCCTCCTTTGGACATTTTCAATCAGCTGATAGTCCCTAGCATATCTCGGGGACCAGACGGGGTGACAGTACTCCAGGCGGGGAAGCACTTCACTCTTGAAGATCGTTACGGGGGACGGACCATCTAGATATCTGAACGACCTTCTTATGAGACCTAATAGCTTATTTGCCTGGTTTTCCTTCTTTTCGCAATGGCCCAAGAACTTCAGTTCATTGTCAACGTACACACCTAGGTCCTTCTCAAATTCCGTCTCATTTAATGCAGTCGCTTCGTCCCGTTGGGACATACAGTATGATACGCCTCCTTACTGTTGGTACGTCCCTGGTGCATCCTCTTACACTTCGTGGCATTGAATCTTAGCAGCCATTTCTTCGACCATTCTTGAAGCTCACAGAGATCCTTCTGCAGCTCTTCACAGTCCTCGTGGTTCTTAATTTCCCGAAACAACTTGGCGTCATCCGCAAACATTTGTATGGAGGGATGTACAGCGTCAGGCATGTCATTTATGAAGCAAACAAACAGCAGCTGGCCCAATACACTGCTTGTTACGGATATAGACGATGATTTCGTGCCATTAACCACCACACACTACTTGCGGTCATGTAGAAAGTCCTCTACCCACGCCAGGACATTCTCCTGAATCCCGTACCCTACCAGTTTAATTTTCAGCCTTTCATGGGGTACACTGTCAAAAGCCTTGGCAAAATCTAAGTAAATATTGTCGATATTACCACCCTGTTCCAGAATTTTGTTTCCCAAGTAGTGGTAAGGAAATGTGTCTAGATAATGTAGCCTTCGTATAATTTGGATTTTTTGGTGTGTGTGACGTGTGTATTCTTGTAATTTGTTCACGCGCATTCTTACGTCGTCACATATGAGGAATATTAATCATGCATATTTTTTGTGACTCCAACTCCGAGCCTCAAAAGTGCATGTATCATCGTATTAATGTATCTATTGCGAAACTGATAACATAAGTGGTGAATAATTGACTATGTAGGACAAGGGGATAAGCTCCTAATCCTTCTTGTATTTCGTGAAGCGATGACGTTTATTCTTCCTTTTTCAATTGAACAAATGTATAATAATCACTTGCTGGATTTTAATATTTAGGAAAGGTTTATAATGATTATTACATATAATTTTAATAATTCTATCACAGGGAAGTTTATTTAAGTGATGGTTTATCATGAAACAGATTCACACATACAATTAAAAAACAATTGTTTATTTACGCTCTAAATGAGTTACATGAAGACAACAAGCTCTGGTACCTTCCGTAGAGTATAATATAGGCTCAAAAGATATTGTACCTTGTCAAGTTAAGCCATTATGGTGAAACGTTTCATACACACGTTACCATGTTGCAACTGTGTGAGTCACTGAAATGCCAGGTAAAACTCATACCTTATTGTGAATCTCAATTGCTTACAAGACTTTTCAAGAATTTAAGACACTATTTTAATCACCATCGGTCTTGAAATGTAATACAAAAAATGTACCGATAGATTATTCAAGACTTTCAGCTCAACGTTTCGAATATTTCGCAAAGTGACGTCACGAGAAAGTAGTGGTGACTCCGGGCCCTGATTGGCTGTTTTGAAGATGGCGCTTCCACCTCCAAGATCGATGCTGTTTTGGTAAAATTTCCCTAAATTGAGGGAAATTTCTGATAGGGGCTAGTAAATCTTCGATCTATTAAGTTTTTTATTTTAAAATTACTCTAATAATTATTTATATTTAATTAATATATTGAATTATATAAAGCACTTTTTCATTTAGAACAAGGGAGATAACAAATATCAGATAGACAGAACAATTTTCGCAACCTTTGCGATTTTGTACGATATCAAAGTTGATATAATGTTGATCGATTTGAATTCACAAAGTAATTAAACTAAATTGGTATTATCTTCTGTTGTAAATTATTAGCAGAATGGCTGTATTAAAAGAGTAACTGATAAGACCCTGTAGATGGCCGTAGAATGTGTGTATGTTAGGGAATGTGAAGTAAAGTTGTCGCGCGTAACAAAGTTCACAGAACTCTACTAATGTCTGTCTGATGAATAACTCCTAAGTTAATGTGTAACATGGGGAAGTATGGAGAAGCGTATGAAGGCGTATGTGAATCCTCTCCTCAAACAAAATAGAGTATTTGTGATTCCTGGAGTAGGAACTAACCTATTTTAATATGCATGACATATATTTCTGGCATAGTTTTATGTATGTATATGTAAATGTAAAAATATGCAAACCTGTTATCAACAAAGTGATTCCGCGATACACTTAACTGGAAATATGTTTAAGTGGTTTGGAAGGCCATATGTAACTCAATAATTTGAGCGTACTTGAGTTTTGTCATGTAGTTTGACGCTTTGAGGGTAATAATAATTTTGGTGGCAATATGTGAGTGTCTTTGTGTGTTGGTTGTTGTGGTGGCGGGGGAAGACTGGAGGGTGGCGGGGAGGAAAGGCGTGGTGGCGGGGGAGGAGCGGGGGGAGGCGCGGGGCGACAGACGCGCGAACACTTGTGGTTCTGAGCCAGGTTATGTCCCACGCCGCCCTACACGCACCGCGGACATGGAGAAGAGGATAGAACTGGAAAGAAGGGGCAGAAGCCCTTCCAAGGTAGGTAGAAGGCAATGGTGGAGGCCCAAGCGGGTGTTAAAGTGTGTTAGAAGGAGTGTAATAAGGAGAGATGGGAGCTGCGTCACACAGACGGACACCACACTGGTGACGGGTTGTGGCCGTCCCTCACCTCTTGACAGTAGATGTCGTGGGCATGTGGCTTCCTAAGGGATGGCCAACCCGTGCCCTGGGCCACTGCCACCCTTCCTGGCTCGGTGGAGGCGCCCTGGCTGGTGTGGAAGTGGTGGAGGGAGGGAGGCTGCCAGGTGACGGGCAGCGGCGTCTCTATCTCCTGCCACCATCATCACCTCCAACCAGTATCACCAGCATCACCACCACTCTCACAAACATTACCACCACTTTTCTTGGGTCCTCCCGGCTTGTTGACTCTAACTGTTTACCAGGTGGTGGTGACCTGGGAATGTGTGCACGGTGGCCCAGCTGCTGGACCTCACCAGCCAGCTGCCTCATTTAACTAGGCCACACTTGCTTGACCCCCAGTTTGGGTTTTTGGCATCAGATTCATAAGTGAGGTTTTTATTTCTTGTGGTTTATGTAGTCAAAACACGATTGTGAGACAGAAACAGAGGGTCAGCCATAGCAGCTACACACTAATCACAGAGCAGAGCTTCGTAAGACTTGAGAGGTTTGCTTTGGAAGTTCTGAGGGTTGTAAGTTGAACTAGTTTTGTTTGAAGAGAAAAGTCGGTGCTAGGCCTGTTGTTGCTGTCTCGGAGGAGTTAGCCGTTTCTTTAGACTGAATCGTGAAGTTCTGGAGATGTTCTCGAGTGTGTAATTGAAAATTGAGTTAGTTGTCTGGAAAATGTAATTTTAGGGAAGCTTCATTATCTGCATTTATTAATTTATTTTTTATTCCATGTATTTAATGATGATTGGGCCCATTTAGACTTTAAATTTTCTCTACTTTTCAGATTTACTTTCTTGATGTAAGCTATGCAGTAAAAATGATAATGGCTTTTAAGAATAGAGAAAATTTACGGTTGAAATTAGAACCATGTATGTTTTCTTAACTGATTAGGTAAGATTAATTTTTGTTTTAAGGGAAATTTTGAAAATAAACTTGACCGATCCATTCCAATACACATTAACCTTATTTGTGTTTTTGTTTTAATACCGTCGTTTATTAACAAATCTGCACCACTATTTTTGGGCTGCAGTGTCCTGGGCTTTATAGTTATTCGGTGTGTAGTTGCTTAAAGAAATAATTATATTGTAGATGTGATTGTAATTTCCTGTATGATTTCAGAACAGAAGATCCTGTAATTCTTTAAACTTTATACTACAGAAAGATATAAAGTCACATAGGTATGCAATATGGCTGGGGAGAGTGAGCCTAAGCACACATTGAGATGCAGGTAACACAGGTGATGCAGGGCAGTGCAGAAATCTGTGTCTAGTCTTTTCAAATTTCAGTGCACATTGGGGCCTAGGGCAGCACAGAGGAGGCGCAGGCCTGTGTTGGGCTGCACAGCATAGTGGTTGGAACACAGTTTTCTGCTCGACCTGTGCACGTGCTAGGTGTTTCAAGGCATAAAATCATAAATTTTTTATATGGCGGAGGAACTTATAGAGGCTGTTTGGAGTCAAAGGGTACTTTATGACACTAGCCATCCTGACTACAGTACATGAAAACCAAACTGAAAGATGGCATATGGGATTGTATGACTGAAACTCTCAAGTTAGAAGACAGTAAATGTACAGTATTGCAAACTAAAGCAAAGATTTAAAATCAATACTAAAACTAATATTGATTATGAAAGAAATTTACGTAATTATTCAGTACATGACTACCATGCAGCAAGACCGACTGCTGGTCAATGTGTGCACCACACCTCTACTGTGCTCTGCTGATGCTCTGTGCTGCTGACCTGCATTCTCAGTTTGCACCTAGCCTTAGAGTAGAAGGTTAAGCCAGAGTTGCAAAGATGGTCCAGGGAATATGACAAGAAGAGGATGGCCAAAGTTCTTTTTCCATCAGTTTCACTCTGCTCTTCTTGTGTTTTCTCTGTGGCTTCTTCACCAGTATCTATTTTGATGCACAGAATGCAAACCTGTTAGGTGTGTGTGGAAACAATGAGTTAAAGAACCACTTCTGAAGCAGACCATAAGAGCCAGTCAAACCCATCCAAAACTGTTGTAGGGGCATTGAGTTTGGTTAGTTCTTATGGTCTGCTGTTCCTTGTACAGGTATTGTCATTTGATTAACATTCTCTACATTAAAATGAACATTGGTGAAAATACCATCACCCAAGAACAAGATCTCTTCAAATAATATGATGTCAGAGTAAAACCTTTACCTTAGGAGTTTTTTGACCTTACAATCCTTAAAAAAAAATTATATACGTATAACCTGCACATTGAAGCTTTGTCAATGTTAAAACACACTATTAAAGGTAAAATTATTTAATCACTAACTCAGTGCGGTATCATGTATCACACTCAACAGTCACTCACTCACGGCAATGAAAGAAATCTATCATGATCTTGTTTCCCAACACCTGATACACTGTCACACACTATGGGGGCCTCTGGCTCTTCAAAAACACAATCTCTGGTTACTGCACAAAAGAGAATTGTACGGACAGTGACCTACTTGAAAAAAATAGATCACACAAACGAAAAATTTTAAATTTGAAGATATTAACACCTACTGCTGTGCCCTCTTTGCTTACAAATCTATCAATCACTTGCTTGACAATAATTATTTCCAGTTCCGGAATAATCCGAGTTACAACTTAAGGCACCCAGAGCTACTAGGACCCCCCCCCCATGCGCTCTTCTCAGTCCCAGACCTCCATAAAATATCACAGTGTGAAGGTGTGGAACAACTTACCCCCACCCATCCAAGCAAAGACTACGCTCCCTTCCTTTAAATCATCTCTTACAAAATATCTGTCTAAGTATTAATATTTCTTGTAACACCTACTATATTTACAGTACCTGCTTTTATTGTATCATCAAAACCGTTTTATTGGGAATTATCATGTAAATAGATAAGTAATTACCATTGCAATAAACATAATTGCCAACTAGACATAATCCTGACAGCTCTGTCCTCTTGTTCAACCTTATTACTGTACAAGCTATGTTGTACTGCTCCCCCATTATATTTATTTATTTATATATATATATATATATATATATATATATATATATATATATATATATATATATATATATTTATTTATTTATTTATTTATTTATTTATTTATATAATATATAATAATAATAATAATAATAATAATAATAATAAATAAATAAAATTAATAAATATTGAAGTGATAACCGTGGTAACATTATGAGATGTTCTTATTACCACCATGCTCTTGTACTATTCCAGATGATACTAATTGTTACATAATATGTACAGTACTTCCTTGAGATAAATGTATAGTATATATCAGGTGCCTCAAAGAGAGCTCAGGTTCTCAAATGGCTCAGCCATGTTAATATTGTTATTATTATCCACTCTGTATCTGTGTTTTTCTGACTAAATAAACTGTTTCAATTCAATTCAAGTGCAGTATACCTTGGCAAACGTTTCAATTTGTTGCCATCATATTTTGGGTGACTGCCAGAAAAAGATGACTTTTAGCTCACCAAACTGAAAGTTCAAAGACCTTCCAATATTGCATGTCATCCTTGCTATCAAAAAAAAATTAGTCTTCTCAAGTCCTTCAATTTATTTATTTTTTATTCATTTAGTGTGAAACTGCACAACTTGGCTCATCATGATGGAAAATCATTCTCTGGATTATTCTACTTGAATTAATGGAAAAAGTTTCAAAACTATAAAGTAACCGTACAGTACAGTATTCTATTACAGGGGTGTATTACAATTAACCATTTCCATGATGTATCTGGCCATTGTTTTATGGACTCAGTGGTTTTAAGGCTAAGTGTTGAGATATGGATTACTGTACTGATATATGATCAGGTGTTCACTGGCATACTTTTAGCTTCTCTTAAACACTGGTGCATAAGGTTAATGTGTCTGTTGTATACTGTATTAAGGAATACCGTAATTGAATGGTAGTGTGTTTGCAGATGAAGCATTGGTCGCAAATTGATGCTGAGAGCCACAGTGTATTGGGGGTGTTAGAAAATTAACTTATACAGTGAACCCTCACTTTACGCTGTTATTTAAACCCACGGCGGCCCGCGTAAAGTGAACAACATAACATATGGGATTAATTGAAATAGAGACCGGGCCGACCCCCAAACTCCACTTTTTCCCGACACAATACGTACGTTTTACTAAAAATAACCTCTTAACTTTATGATGGTATTCACCCACACATAATATAGAAGGGAACAGTCAATAAGAGAAGAATAAACTGAAGGTTAGGTTAGAAAAAAACAAGGCTGGGGTTAACACTTACGCTAGTAGAAGAGATGGGTCGGCGTAGGGGAATGGAGGCTGGTTCCGAGGCAGAGGGCAGGCTACTGGCCCTCAGGTGAGTCTTCATCGGTGTCATCCACACTTACTAGTGCCTCCCTGACAAATCCCTCAAAGTCATCATCACTGTCTCTACCTCTGTCACTATCACTGGCTTGGGCTGGCTGTGGTGGGTTGCGAGCGAAGAACTCTGTTATGCTTTGCTGACGGCTGGTGTTTATGTTGTCGTGATACACCTTGATGTAGGGCTCCATAGTCTGCAACAGCTGGGTAGTGAAGATTTCATACCTGTTTGCGTCAGGGTCGTCGGAAAGGAGGAGCTTGGCTTTCTCGATACACTCGATGGCACCCCTAACATTACTATGGGATAAACGGCATTCTTCTTGGGATGACGCACCACCTGCCTCTTCACTGACGTCATCATCATCTACCATGTCGTCGGTAGTCACATCAGGATCCCTTATCACCTCCAGGATGTCGTCGTTGGTGGTCTCGGAGAAGCCTGCAGCTGTAACACTCTGCTACTGCAACAGTCTGAACCTCACCAGTCACAGATTTACTCTGCCTAACGCCCGGAATGC